TTTCACGACTTCCTCTGTTTTTGTGGATTTGCAAGCGCATAGTCGAATATATTTGGTGAATCCATCGTCAATCGCCAATATAAATTTGTTGCCTTTCTTACTTTTTTCTAACGGACCATAGTGATCGGCGTGAATTGTAAAAAATGGCCTATCGCCCTTAGGAACGCTTTGCAAGAAACCCTCAGTCTCTCCACTAACTGGAGAGTATTCAATGCATTTCAAACAATTAAGAATATGAGCCTTAATTTTCTTCCGCATATTCGGAAACCAATACAATTTCGTCAAATTTTCGATCACCTTCTCGAGGCCAACGTGTCCTAACTCATCGTGTCCCGTTCTGATTACATTTGTTTCCATCGACATCGGTACATAGAATAACAACTTGTTTTTGCCCGCTTTCTTATATACCAAGCCGTCTCGCAGCTCGAAGTGTTTACTTTCTACGCACTTCCAAATCGTCTCTAATTCTCCGTATTTCCTCGTCTTGGTCCTGTCTAATAAATAATGTTCGCTCAAAAGTATTTCCTTCTAAAATTAAAACGTTATTACATCGACTGAGCGCATCGACATGTTGCATACGTGTTCCCGGCCGGTGTTCGATTTGAAAATCATACCCCTGCAAATACATAGCCCACCGCGATATTCGTGGGTTTATATTCTGCTTGCGGAGAGTAAGTCGAAAGCTATCGCAATCGGTTACAATTTTAAAAGGTCTACCGGACAAATAAATGTGAAATCGTTGGATAGCGTAGACAACCGCAAGGCACTCGAGCTCGAAGCTGTGATACTTCGACTCAGGTAAAGAAGTTCGTCGGCTAAAATAGAACACGGGCTGCATTTTTCCGTCGACTTGTTTTTGCAGCAGTATTGCGCCAAATCCACTCGAACTTGCATCACAAATGTAACTCAGTTTCAAGTTGCGGAGAATAGATTGCAAGTATTGGCGGTGACGTTAGGCCCGCTTCAGTGCATTAAAAGCCTCATATTCGGCTGACCCGAAATTAAATTTATTACTCCTAATAAGGTCATACAACGGTTTTGCTAGACGCGAGAAATTAGGAATAAATCTGCGAAAGTAACTGGCTAATCCTATAAATCGTTGTACTTGTTTCACAGTACGGGGAATGCAGTATTCCGCTATGGACGCTGTGCTCATTACTCGGGCGTACACCTTCGTGGCTAATTGTATACCCCAAATAAGTTATCTCGGCATATAAAAATGTACATTTGTCTAGACGGAAAATTAGTCCGTGCCGGCGGGCAAGGAGAAATACCTCATACAGAACACGAAGATGATCGTCGATGTTTTCCGTCGCTATTAG